AGAGCCAGCTGGTGGGTGCTTTCAGGAAGTTCACCAGCGTGATTCAAATGTAGGCCCCTCCCTGTGATGCTGTGTAGTATCCCTGTGATGTCCATCGTCACCTTAGCTCCATCCTCAGCAAATATTCTGGGCCCTCGTATAGGACTGTCCAGCTCCTGAGAACTTGCTGGAACTTCTGGAGAAGCAGCAGGGCCCCTCTGGGCAGGCAAGGACTTGAAGGCACATGATGGTATTGGGTGGAGCCCAACCAGGAGTTCATGTTGTCTTTGGTGACTTTGCCTCTTGGAAGGAAGTTCCAAAACACCCTTTGTTGCTTGTCATACCCAGGACCAGTGTATCAAGTGAGCTTCTTTTCAGGCACTGTGCCCATGGCCCACAGGAAAGAGGACATGGCCAAGGTAGCCACTTGGACAATATAAACAGCTCAGCAGCACTGATGACCCCTGACACCCCCAGGTCATTTGCCACAAGCTCCACAAGGCTCCTGTGGGTCTCTGCTTGTTTATGTTGTATCTCTTTATGGGTGTCTTTAGATTTCACCTGATCTTATCTACACACCAGAGATGCTTGATTTTAACTTGACTTATAAGAAGAAAGTCAGAGGAAGGTGTATGGTATAAAAAGAAATGTAGGACTGGGGTATGACTCAGAGGTAGAGCACTTGGCCTAGCATGTACGAGGCCCTGAGTTTCATCTCCAGCACCAAAAAAAAAAAAATATATATATATATATTCATGTCATCTTTAGATGATGATAAAGTCTTCCTTATGCTGGAGTTCTCTTTCCCAGAGCAAAGAAACTTCTAGGACAAGTATGCTATGTATTTAGCAGAAAACACAGAAACAACAAATGGATCCAAAAGGAGAAGGCTCAGACTAAAGTTTCCTGTCCAAAATGACAAATGAACAAATCAGGACACTTTCTACAGGTTTGTGGACAGATGTGATTTGTATGGGGCTGGAGATGGCATTTAACAAACCTTGTTCTTGCCTCAAATCACAGAGAATGGGTTTTCTACAACAACAACAAAATGTCATCCAGTAATCACATTTCCAACTCAGAAGTATGTTTTTAGAAGTATTATTTGTGATCTGTGGACTGGCGGAGTGGCTCAAGTGGTAGAGCACCTGCCTAGCAGGCATGAGGCCCTGAGTTCAAATCCCAGTGCAGCCAAAAAAGGTCTATTTGTGGCTGTGTTATAGTTATAATCTGCAGTATATTCACAGTTAAAATCTGAAGCATACCTTCATTTCTTCATTCAGGAAACATTTAGAAAGCTCCTAATGCATGGCATGCCACAATACAGAGCAGAAGAAAATCACGTCACCCCCATGCAAGTCAGCTTTCCCTCACTGTGGCAAATGCTTGAGATGAATCAACTTGAAAAGAGGAAAATTCATTTGGCTCACAGTTTCAGAGGTTTTCATCCACAGTCACCTAGCCCTGTCTCTTTGGGTCTGTGACAGCACTGTACATCATAGAGGGAGCAAGTAGCAGAAGAGTCAAGTTCACCTCATGGTTAACAGGAAGCAGAGAGAGAGAGAGAGAGAGGGAGAGAGGCAGGAAAGGGCCCCACTATCCCCTCAAAATCACTCTTCCAATAACCTTAACTTCTTTCTATTCCCCCTGCCACTTTTTTTTTTGGAATACTGGGGATTGAACCCAGGGTCTTTCACATGCTAGGCAAACACTCCACCACTGAGCCACCACTCCTTCAGCTGAGGCCCCACCTCTTAAAGGTTCCACCACTTCCCAATGGCACCAAGGCTGGCAGCCAAGCCTTTATCACGTGGGCCAATGGGATACCTCCAAACCATAACCACCCCAAATCCATTCACTCAGAATCAAATGAAAGGCCAGGCTCTTTCATTCATTAGGACTTATTTTCCAAGTTATATATGTAGGATCTTAAAAGATGAACGATACATACTACTGACTCCTCCCACACCTTTTTTCACAAAGAGGAAGTTTGAGCAACCCACATAGACAGTACAAGGCCCCTGATGCATGGACCATGATTCAAACTTCATGGGAAAGTGATAGTCCAGGCCTGTTCACAGAGAAGCATTGTGGCTTTCCATTTGTCCTGGCCCTCTCAGGGGGAGAATAGTTCACCTCCCACAGAAGATGTCACACTGCTTTTCCTACCATAGATAATCACATCCACGTGAAAAAATAGTCCCTCATCCTCGACTATCACCATGTCACTGTTTGTTTGTGAGTTGTACAGAATAAGCCCACGAGTGACATGTGCTTAGGGACCCTCCGCCACATAGCTCTTTATTAAATTTCACTGCCTTATGCATAAAGAGAGTCATTGAACTTCTCAAAGAGCTCCCCTTTAGAATGGACTTGAGCTGATTCTGTCTGGTAGGCAAGTTCAAGTTTCAGTTACTTGAATTTGAGTCATTGGACAACTCTGGCCTTCCCAGAGTGGCCAGGTGGCTCCTGAGCTCCAACCAGAGGGGCACCTGAAGCCAAAATTTACATCCAAGCTGTTGTCGAGAGCTGGGTGTCTTGGTGCTGGATGGGGACCAGGAGTGATCATGCTCATCTCCCTAGAACTTGGTGTCAGTCCCAAGGAAAGATTGTGACAAGCAAGTAGGTTAATAAATGACCCCAGGATGCCCACCTTCCAGTCCACAGAACTCAGGAAGGTGGATCTGGACAAGGGCTTTCTGTTTGTAATGGGCAGGAAGTGAGATCCAGGTTGCTGTCATGCTTTCTCTGGGATGGGTGAGGAGCACGGCAATGACCTGGAGGAAGAAAGGACCAGGTGACCATTGGCCAAATTAGCCTTGAGCTGTGCTGTCCACCTGGGTTGCACCTCCACACAGTTGGGATCCAGAATCCCCACGCCTGGCACATAACCCACTCCACTCACTTCTGCTGGCTTGACGCTGTCCTGTTGGCAGTCACAGGCTTGTAATGAGCTAGGCTTATGGCCAAAGGCTTGGGAAGGGCTGAGGCCAGGCCACTGGGGAAGCCCAAACCATGCTGTAGACCTGGTCCTGTGACAGCCCACCTTCAGAACTGTGTGTCAGCATAGGGCTCTTTTCAGAGCCCTACAATGACAAGGCTGGGATGGCCCAAACTCATGGCATTAGGAAACTACATCAGGCTTCCAGAAACTTGCTTTTCTCACTGATCTTGGGAGAGTCATCCCCTCAAGCTGGACAGAGCAGAGTTCACGCCCTTCTCTGACTGGATGTGCACCGTGGTAGACACAGCTGTCAGAGATATGGGGTAGGTAGTTAGAGCTTGGCCTGGCAGGATGGATGGAAGCAACCCTACTAGCTTGGAGCCGGGAAGAATTACACCCCACTGTCGTTATAACAGGATGTGTGGCAGGTTATGAAATATTGTCTTGGGTATTTTATGCCAGGTGGAAGCTTTCTCGTTCAAATAGCAATATATATAGGGAGGGCTGAAAACACCATCAGCAGGTGTTAAGAACAAAACATCTCATTTAATAGTTTTCTTTTTTGGTTGTAGTATCTGACAATGGCAAATATAAATCAACTGGATACCTAGGTTCTTAAAGTGTATAACCCCAAAATGCTTTTGAGCTCCTTGCAGGGTTTCTAAGGAGCCCGGTCTACGGGGTGCTTTATAGACGAATTACCTTGGTGGTGGGTCAGGCTAGGGTACTTCTTTCCACACATTTCGTTCCATACACCAAAGATGTCTTTGAGGTCAGTCCCCACCCCTAACTGTGAGTCTGCCTGCCTTTGGGGGTGCTCTGCTCTCCTCGGGACACTGGGGAAGTTGAGGCTAAGAAAGTGGATGCCTTTGCCTCCCCGTCCACTTGGCCTCAGGCATCTCTGACAGCTATTCCAGCTTCCAGGACCAGCCTGGAGTCTCCAGCCTTGGCCCAGTGGCCTCCAAGGCCACTTTGACCTCTGCGTCCTTGTCTGCTTGGTCGGAGCCCCAGACTGTGGCACAACCTCCTTGCGAGCAGGGACTGGGTGCACACTCATCTTCACTCTACCAGTCTTGGGTACCAGCACTGTACTAAATCCTAGCTTTGAGCATTATTGGATGGGGAGTGGCAGAGGAAACCACAGCAAGACCAAGAAAGCACTTCAACTTTCCTGGACTCTTTTCCCCAAATCCTGTACAAATGATTAAGTTTCTTTCATCACACATGATGATAACAGGTGCGTGCCAGGTATTGGTCTGAATGCTTTGCACACTGTCTGTATGCTAACCCTCAGCAGAACACATGGTGGTCCCATTCTACAGACCAACAAACTGAGGCCAAGAAGGCTAACTGCCTGTTCTATGTCTCACTGCTGGTGAGTGTGAGGCTGGGTTTGAAGCCAGACAGCCTAGCTCCTGGAGCCCCGTTCCTAAGTATCATTTATTCAGCTTCTCAGATTTTTTTTCCTTGCTCATGAAGGCAAATACACCACTTAAGAGAAATTTATAAAAATCCTGAGAGTAATTTAAACATTTGAAATTAGGAATAATGTCACCATCTGGGAATTGCCGCTGTTCATATTGAGCTGCTGCTACCCTTTCTAGATTTTTTTCTGCGCAGGTTTTGGTGCCATGTCTAATGACTGTCAAGAATTTCAGCATACAGACTATCATAACACACTTCTTCACGTCCTCACTGTAAGACAATTTCCGTAATAGTTTGACCAAACACTTTCTTTCCTCTCTTCACTCATTTCTTTCCCGTACATCTATTTCCTTCTTCTTTGGAACAAGGGTCACTTGTCAATTTTGGGGCAAATTCACACGGTCGATTGTTTTTAGTAGAATCACTTCCAAATCCATCAGTGTGGCGTTTCCCTCTCCATGTATACCAAACGAGGTGTCATTTTTCAAATGTCTCACTTTGAAGTAAAAATGTCTCCCTGGAACATACCTACAACAATGCAAATATGTTCAGATGTTTGCACTCTTGCAAAAAGGAACCTACAGCGCTGATAAAGAGGCTACGTGGAGTCTTCAGATTGCTTTTAAAATGGTAACTCCCATTCTTCCGGTAGGTGAAATGGATCCAGCAACAAGAAGTGAAGCGGAGGGTGAAGAGACAGGCAAGGAGCGACCCTCAAGCCCTTTATTTCAACGATCCTATTTGGTCCAACATGTGGTACATGGTGAGTGGGGGGTGGGCCCCTCTCTGTCCCCAGGCATCTGCACGCTGTGTCTATGGAAAGGGTTCATCTCCCCCAGGCGAGCTCAGTTCTCAGGATGACACCAGACAAACACACTTCATCTTGAGTATAAAACTCCCCACTTCCGGGGTGGGTGAGTGTGTGCGACCCTTTTGTCTGAGATGATGGAAAAGTCAATGGAAGGTTGTTTGTAGGGAAGTGACTGGAAGGACTAACCAAATGTTGGAGACCCATCTGTGTGTGCAGAGCCCCGAGGGGGAGGACGACGGATAGATTGCCAGGTGCAGCAGAAGTCAGGGGAGCCCTCCACACTTACTCTCCCTGGACCCATGTGGAAAGAGAGGGTCCAGGCCAGAGCAGGGGCTGCTGTTGCCATCCCTCTTCCAAGTGTAACCAGCTTTCTGTGGGTTTGCACCGTGTGTCCCTTCTGCATCAGGGGTGTCTGTGTCTTCTGGTTTTTGTCTCTGTGTATACAGCATTGTGGTGACAAGCACAGTCGCTGCCGGTCAGAAATGAATGTCCAGGCAGCGTGGAAGCGGGGCTACACAGGAAAAAACGTGGTGGTCACTATCCTTGATGATGGTATAGAGAGGAATCACCCGGACCTGGCCCCAAACTATGTAAGTCGAGCCCTTGAAATGACCTGCAAAGACAGTCAGCCATGCTAGTCATTAAATACGTGCAAACTTAGTAGTAAGTTGCCATTCTTCCCTCACTCCCCATTAAATTAGGCAATAAAGAAAACCATGCTGCAGGGGAGATGGACACAAACATTCTGCCACGTGCTACTGGCCTAGAGAGGGGTTTTACAGATGGATTTGCTCACGTGTTTGAGGAGTTGCATGTACTTTTAGGAAGTGAAACCTAAAGAAACCCGTGCAGAGATGGTCGTCATGTGGGTATTAGCTCTGGACAATTGCAAGGTTAAAACATGGGCTTTCCACCCATACAGCCTGGGCTCCTGACCTGGCTTGGCAACCACTAGCTCTGAGACCCTTGATCTCTCTGGGCCTCAGTACCACCATCTGTAAAATGGGTTAGTATGAGGACTACTATCTTTCAGGATTTCTGGAATGAAGAGAGTAGTAAATGTGATGAAAGCAACATTGAATTCTCTAAAGAACCAGGGGCCTTAGCAGGGGCCAAGCAAACCTGACAGTATCCAATGGATAGATACTTAGGCAGCTCTTAGACATAAGTTTTGAAGACTGTCAACACTAAAAAGGAGAATTTTCTTAAAAAGCTACATGAACATTTCTTATTAAGTGTGTAAGCAAAAACATACATACTAAAATATAAAATGAAGGAAATTCTGGAACATTCTAGGACGATATAGGTGAACCTTGAGAGTTTGAGGCCCTAGAGTCTCACACTCACAGAGACGTGGACTGCTGGTTGCCAGGGGCTGGAAGGGGAGGTAGGAGTTACTATTTCCTGGGTGCAGTTTCAGTTTTGCATTATTTTGTGGATAGATGGATGATCATTGCACAACAGTATGAAAGTATTTTGAATACTTTTTATGTGGATAGCCACCTAAAAATGGTTAAGATAACAGACTTTATGTCATGTGGTTTTTTTTTAACCACAATAAAAAACAGGTAAGAGGATAGTTATAGTAAGAGAGAAACTCTGTGTGTAGTTTTCTTTATTTTCCAGGATAGACAGAAGAGTGGTTTCCAACAGGGCTGTTAGATTCTGTGCCATCTCTCTCCACTCACCAAGATTAATTCCTAGGATTCTTACGCAAGCTATGATGTCAACGGAAATGATTACGACCCATCGCCACGATACGATGCCAGCAATGAAAACAAGTATGTCACTTTGTCACCTCTTCCTTGCAGAATTGCATTGAATTTCCTCACAAGGGGGCCCTGGAGAGGTTCTGGGCTATGGGTGCTTCTCCACCTTACTGGGTTCTACTGGGGGCTTTGTCCAGAACTGGTAAAGCCTCAGCTGGCCCAGCCCTATAGATACAGGTGACTTCTGTGAGTTCACCTCTTCCTTTAGGAACATTACCTCTGCTGGTCAGCTAGAAATGGGTGTTAGGCCTCTTTCCAGCCTTGTTGGAATATTTTAAAAGAATTTCCCTTGTCTTGCTGTCTCCATGACTGGTTGCATTAAGACATTGGTTTGGCCTATCCGAGCACACAAGTCATATGCCGCAGCTTTTGTGACTCCATCCTTGACCAGATGAGCAAGATGGAATAGCCAATAAGGGTCAGTTCCCTGCTCTACCACCCACATGGAGGGACCTCATTGAGATGCTGTGTCTTAATTAGACTTTTCCGTGGAGATGACATTCCCACTTCATAGGGTTGTTGGGAGGGAGCAAATGAAGTGACAAGTAAAGAATGCCCTCTGTAGGGCTCAGTCATCCATGGGAGTTTATTACACACTTAAGACACTTATCTCTCAAGATCCCATCACCTCCTTGGTGATGCTGGAGGTCCCGCCTCCATGGTGGGCCTGGAGAGATCAGGTGACCTATGCAAGATCAAAAGAACTCCTGGTAGTTCTTTCCTGTGCTGGCTTGTCCTTTCTTTGTCAGCATACCCTACACCTAGCTCTTACCATTTTTCCAGAACCATTTAGAGGAAAGTTGACAGTTGCTTAACCATGTCTGTCCTCCCACTACAGTTGTGTTGATCAGTTTTTAGTCACTGTTACAAAATCCCTGAGATAATCAACTTATAAAGAGAAAAGATGAAGCTGATGTAGTGGTGTGCACCTGTGGTCTCAGCTACTCAGGAGGATAAAGCAGGATTGCTTGAGCCCAAGAGTCAAGGCAAGCCTGATAACAGAGTGAGACTCCTTCTCTGAAAAAATTTTAAAAAGAGAGAAAAGGTTAATTGTGGCTCACAGTTTTGTAGGTTCCAGGTCATGACTGATTGGCCCATTGCTTTGGACATGATGGAGCAAAACAGTATAACCTTATTAACCAGGAAGCAGCCAGGGTCCCACAGCCCCTCCAGAGAAACTCCTCCAATGACCTAAGGACCCTCCCAATAATGACCCCATGGGGCTGAGCCTTGAACACCTGGGTCTTTGGGGGACATCCAGCATTCAAACTAGTGCAATTAAACTAAATTAACATTAAAACTAGTGCATTTTAGATTTCAGTTGATTTGACGCTGATGTTCAAACACCAATGCCCACTTGGTGCTGCCCAGGGGGGTGCGGCCAGCTACCCGGTCTACATGACAGGCTGCAGAATTCCCCAGAGCTGCCAAGGCCCTCTCCTCAGAGCTGTTTTCCCTGCTTTGCACCCCAAGGTGCCCTTCCTGCCCAGCAGTGAGGATGCCTGGGGCAAAGGAGCCTGTTTCCTGGTCACACATCAGGAGGCAGGGAAGCATGACCCACAGCCCATGCAGTGACCCCTGAAGGGCAGGATTGGACCCCTGTGTGAGCCATAGAGCCATGTGGCCCTGGCAGCAGCTTTGGCCTCAGGGCCAGGAGAGGTGCAGAGAATGACAGAAGACTCCCTTCCAAGGGCTAACACACCCTGGGCCATTTTAAAAGGCTGTTGTAATTTGAATCAGTGATTTTAATTCCCTGAGTCTCTTCCCAAAATGGGTGCTGTTAGTCACTCATATTTTGGCCTGTGCTGTAGGAACTGACCTGATGTGGCAGATGGGAGGAGGGGAGTCATGACTGAGGAAAGCAATTTGTTTGGTGGTAATTTCTTCATCTTTCTTTATCACCCTAAGGTTACTACTGAGTGTTCAACTTAGAATGTTCTTCCTTGGCTCCTGTTAAATGGCAATGAAAATCATAGGTTGTCCTGCTGAGCATGGTGCTGTAGTGCACAGGGGACAAGACCTAAGACATAAGTACAGTACTGTCCCATCAGTCAGTCAGACAGACATTGACGCTGCACCTGTGTGTGCCAAGCAATGTGTTGTTAATCACAGAGACAGAGCTGAGGCAACCTCCATGAACCACAGTGGCAGTGACTCCATGACAGGTACTAGGGGAGGAGGGGACCACTGGTGTTGGGAGCAGGTACCCTGATGGAGTAGGGGAAGGGGGACTGGGGAGGCATCCTGGAAGAGACAACCTGTGAGCAAGCACTTGTCATGTGGCAGAGAGGGCTGTGCCCTCTTTCCAAGGAGGTGTGCTGACCACAGGGGATACAAAAAATGGTCTACACTGGCATCCCCAAAGTACGGACAGCTGATCCTTGCTATAGGGAAACTGAGCAGTGTGCAGAATTCATTAACATTTGCCTGGCCAGAGTCTCACTTCCATGTTTTTCCTTTGCAGACATGGCACTGGCCAGGGTCTCACTTCCATGTTTTTCCTTTGCAGACATGGCACTCGTTGTGCGGGAGAAGTTGCTGCCTCAGCCAACAACTCTTACTGCATCGTGGGCATAGCATACAATGCAAAAATAGGAGGTAAGGCCAGAGCACAGCTGGGAGCAGACGGGCCGGGGCCAGACAGAGAACTTCTTTCCTGTGGGACTCAGCAGCCTTCATGTCCTTTGACCCTGGCCAGGGCAGACCCCTAGGCTAGAAGCAACAATGCCAGTTGTGCCATGACCCAGATGGCCAGCCAGTGGCCAGGTCCTCGAGACAGAGGGGTGGCTTACTGTGTTGTCTGAAGAGCCAGCTCACATTCCATCAGAAGAGTCTCTTTCTTTCTTGGGGCCCTACCAGCGAGGCTGCTGACTCACCTCAGCCATCAGACAGCCACTTCCCTGACAGATGTGCAATGTTTCCTTGGGCCTATGGTCTCTCTCAGGTTCCAACTCCCACTCCAGCCTGCTGGACCACTTCTCCTACCTCTGTCCCTTGGCTTTAGCCAAATAACATTTGTCATAGTGTTCCCCCGCCCTACCACCCAGACATAGTGCCAAATACCATGTGCCTCACAGTGGAAATAATGGTCATAGCACCTAGGCTTGCAAAATTCCCTTCCTTGCCTCTCTTGGCTCAGTCTACCCGTGATTTCTCGCCACTTCATGCCCACTGTGCTTGGTGACTCTTTCCTGCCAGCCATCCCCCCATTTCCATCTTGTTCCCCAGAGAACCAGCACTTCTAGTGCCCAACCCCAGAGTGTGTCTGTCTTTGTTATTTAGTTCTTTTCTGTCGTTAACTCAAAGTGAGCTTGCTAATATGCAAGTTTTTTTTTTTTTTTGCTGTACTGGGGTTTGAACTCAGCACCTCATGCTTGCTGGAAGGCACTCTACCACTTGAACCACTCCATCAACCCTGTTTTGTGTTGGGTATTTTCGAAATAGGGTCTCATGAACTATTTGCCTGGGCTGGCGTTGAACCACGATCCTTCTGATCGCTGCCTCCCAAGTAGCTAGGATTACAGGTGGGAGCTACCAGTGACCAGCTCTCATCCGACTCTCAGGGTCACACATATCACACATATCTTTCCATGCCTTGTGTCCTGAAGTGCCTACTAAGTGCACAGTACTGAACAGGTGGGGCCAAGGAGGGGGTGCCAGGGGCTGCAGACCTCACCTGGGAGGCCTATAACCTCTCTACTGGAAGGTGTCCTTACTCATTTGATGATATCTTTGCAGGGATGGTTGCAGCCCCTCAGCTCCACAGGAGCAGTGGGGAGGTGGGGCCAGGGGTTTCCTGATCACCTAGTCCTTGGAGAATTGCCTGAGTTTCAAAAAGAGGAGCCCCAGCTTTTACTTAAGACTCTGCCTGCCCTGTCCCTTGGAAATCTTTGAAGTGGCTAGGACCTGTCATTCTGTAACAGAAGTAAACCCTAAGTGCATGTTCTGCAGAACAAATCAGGGGACTCAACTGGCCTCAATCCTTTAGGGGAGTTCTTTTATGCCAAGATGTGTAAATTCTCCCTGGAGTCTTTAATGAAGAGTAAAAACCCCTGAGAAATATCTCCATGAATTGTAAAATCAGGCTGACCTGCATACCGTGTCTATTTCCATCACCCCCACTGGCTGTGTTTTCTTGGACAGCTTACATAACCTCTCTAAGCCAAGGTTTCTTCATTTGTTTAGGGAAAGCAAAGATAATGCAGCTGCCTCCCAGGTTTGTTATGAAGATTAAGTTAGACACCCTGTGTGAAAGCCTTGGCTCAGGCTCAGTCTACAGGGAACTGCTGAGTTCCTCTCCTCCTTCCAGGTGAAACAGAGAGAGTAAAAATTATTTGTCTTACTTTGAGTGAGCTGGTGGACCCCACCTTTGGGGTGGTTTGAAACTTGCTTCTTGAAGACCCTAAAGTGGCAGGCCAGACATCATCTGGCATCTGTTACAAATGTAGGATCCTTGCCTCCTTCCAGCCCTACCAGCCAGAAACTGCATTATTAATCAGCTCCCCTGAGAATTTGTCTAGAAATGGCAGTTTGAGAATGTCAGTAGGGGACTCTCCAATGTCACGTAGGTAGGTAAGGAGGGGTCTTTATGAAAGTATTGCCATAAAGAATCACCCAGAAGAGCTGGTGATGAATACAGCTTGTTGTTAAATAACTCTACACTCATTGCAGAATTGTAGACCTAAGCTCTAAAGCATGCCTCTACTTACAGGGCTTGAGAATGGAAATGCTTTAAAATTCGTGCATTGAATGTCATTAAGTATGTACTATGGGCTAGCCACTGAAGGGGAGAAGAAAGAGATGCCAGACACAGTTTGGGGCTTCCGGGAGCTCATCTTGGGGTGAGCAGTACCAACCTGGAAAATAGTACAAGACCAAGTGTGGAAATGAGAGGGGCAGATGGGGAGCCCGGGAGTGATTGGACAAGCACTCACTGAGGGCAGAAGCATGGTGGCACAGCTTAATCTTGATGTGGGAGGGTTCGGCTTCAGAGGGAGTACTGAGTCAATGATGGGGTCTGCAGCGTGGAGCTGGAAGGGAGCATACTACATAGGGGCAGAGGATGTGGGGTGGGGCTGGGCTGTGGAAACACAAGTGCCCTTGACTCAGGGAACTTGGGAGCCAGTGGCTCTGTACAAAGCTTCTGTTCACAGCTTCAGCCTCCATTGCATGCTGCAACTCTGTCCTGCCAGTCCTCTCCTGGGCAGGGCAACTTTTGGGCATCCCTGACATGATAGCCACTCTCTCTGCCTGTCCTTGCACACAGCAGGGAATTTCTCTGGGAGCCTCTGAGCTGACCATGGAGCTATGCATCATTGGGTTTTTTTGTCGTTGCTCAAGATTATTATGTATATACTAATTTATCCCAGTCTATGTGAAATTAGTAATATACTACATGTATAATGTGCTACTCTAAAACATTTATTTCAATTCACACTCAATCTCATTTACATATTTTATTTTCTGTGTTTTAAACCTAGTCAATTTCTATTATTACTTTTTTTTTGGCAGTACCGGGGATTGAACTCAGGGCCTCACACTTGCTAGGCAGGCGCTCTACTGCTTGAGCCACTCTGCCACTAGCATTGCTTTTATTCTTGATTTAAACACTCAGTTGACTTGAAAATATTTATAAATAGGAATAAACTGCCTTCACTTGTACCATTCCCTGTGTTCTCTCATCTTGTTTCAATTTTTCTTCTACCTGAAGAGTTCCTTTTAATATATGTATATGTTGAAGCTCAGGCATGCTGGTAAGAAATTCTCTTGGATTTTATATGAAAGTGTCTACTTCATTTTGGAAAAAAATTTTGCTGAACAGAATTCTAGCTTGACAGGCTTTTCTTTCAATACCTTGAAGATATGTTTCCAGTGTCTCCTGGCATCCATTGTTGCTGATAGTGAGTCTGTGGTAATTCTCATTGCTTTTCCCTTTTCTGTAATGTGATTTATTCCTTGGATGCTTTTATAATATTTTGTGGGTTTTTTTTTTTCTATCTGCTTTGTCTGTGAGTATGTCATTTTGTGTAATTTTTCTTCATATTATTCGAGGTTGGGGTTTGCTGTTTCTTCCTTCTTTCCCTATCCTCCTTTTCTTTCTTTCCTTATCTTCCTTTTCTTTCTTTCTCTTTTTCTTTCTTTCATTCATTCTTTCTTTCTTTCTCTCCTTCCTTCCTTCCTTCCTCCCTCCCTACCTCCCTCCTTCCATCCCTCTTTCCCTTTCTCCCTTCCTCTCTCCCTCTCTCACTCCCTCCCTTCCTTCCTTCTTTCTTTCTTATTGTGCTGGGGGTACATTGTGACATTTACTAATGTTTTTACAATGTATCATAGTTGAATTCACCCTCTTCATCTTTCTCTTTTATCCCCCCTCCCCCCATTCCTGGAATAGTTTCAGCAGGTCTCGTTTTTCCATTTTCATACACGAGTACAGAATATTGCCACCATATTCACCCTCCTACACCCTTTCTCTTTTTCTTTCTTTTTCTCTAAGTCAAATTTGGAAAGCATTTTGTCAGTATTTCTTCAATTTGTTTTTTGGGGGGGTTTTTGGTGGCACTGGAGTTTGAACTCAGGGCCTCACCCTTGCTAGGCAGGTACTCTATGTTTGAACCACTCCACCAGCCCTTTTTTTTGTGATGGGTTTTTTTCAAGACAGGGTTCCACAAACAGTATGGGCTGGCTTTGAACCAAGATCCTCCTGATCTCTGCCTTCTGAGTAGCTAGATTTATAGATAGGTCTGAGTCACTGGTGCCTGGCTCTTCAAATATTTTTAAATTCCATTTTTCTTTCACCTCTGTTTGAGCATCAATTATAGTTGTTAAACTGTTTGACATACCTCACAGGTAACTAAGGCTCTGTTCATTAAAAATAATCCTTTGTTTAAATCTGTGTTTTTAATTACATAATTTCTATTACATTGTTCTCACATTCTTGGATCTAGTCTGTTCTTAACTCTATGGAATTTAAAAATTTTTTCAAATATTTTAATTTTCAGTCCAATGGTGTCCATTTGGGCCTTTTTACCATTTCCAAACCCCATCTCCTAACTCTTTAGACCTTTTAACATTTTTTTAAGAGTTACTTTGAAGTCTTTATACTAATTCCAGTTTCTGAGTTGTGAGTGTTCCTAATAATGAGTGTTCCCTTTACAAGGGGTTGCATGTAGGAACCTTTACACATGTCTCGTTTTTTTCTCATTGTATAGTAGACATTGTTACTCTACATTTTAGAGACTCTGGATTCTGTTATCTTTATCTGGATATTGTAAAGTTTTGTTTTAGTAGCCATTTAAATTTGATTTTTTAGAGACTCCCTTATTCATCTTAATGGGTGGTCTCTTTCTTATCTTCTTATCTTTAGCATTAGGGAAAATCCCATCGACAGGCATACAGACTGACATACCACAATCCTTTTATTACTTCAATGGAAACCAAAATGTTTACCAGAACCTCTAACTTAGCAAGACTTGAACTCTAAATTGATTTTCCTGCTATAGGTGGCAGCTGAAATATCTGCTCAGCTTAGTCAGGCTTTCACCTGTTATTTTCCTCCTAGACTTTTAGAGCAGTGTTCAAACATGTGTGGATCAAGGATCAGC